CATGTACAAAAGGAACATATGAGAGTGATAATAGTGAATTAATTATTAAAGTAAAAGCAAACTAAAAGAAAATTAAAAATTAATTCAAATTTTTTTACAGGGAACGACTAATGAAGAGGTTAAGACCAAGGTAGAATAAGAGACTGGGCAAACATTTTCTGCATACAGAGTTCAGGGTTGTATTGACTAATTGCCAGCGTTTCCGCCATACACAAATGTCGAAACCTGACGCCATTTGTACCATTTGGCCTCACCTTTTAGATGGTCTTGAAAGATGACTCTGGTGGCGCTACGTGGCTAGAGTTCACCAAGTGCTCGAGAATTGAGCTAGTAATTGTCTTACATTATCCTTTTGCTAACCATTCCGGACAATGTTCAGAGATGCATTTGGAAAGTGTGCACTTTGTGCGGCCAATATAACTAGCTCCACACGAGCAGGTGAATTTATAAACACACACTGAAGTGACCCAAAGCGGCAGTTTATACTTCACACATCCACTGATCATTTGTTGGCTGTAGAAATTGATCCGTAGCTGAGCCGAAAAGAAGGCTTTCCTCAGTGATCTGCATAAGTGGTTCTTCAGGATCTCAGCTGCGGCATCACCCTTAAATTCAACGCTCATAAATAGCAGTTTTTTATCGGCACCATCTGGGTTCTTTCAGGCTTTTGCTTTAACTTCATGTTTTTCTCGATAAATCTAGGAGGGCATCCATTCTCAATGAGGACTTGTCTGAGTCGCTCCAGTTCACCGTCGATTGTATCACTGGAATATATCCTTCTTATTCTTGAGGATAAGGAGTAGATCAGGTTTCTCTTTCTTTTCAAAGATACCCAACAATGAAAATTCGTGTACTGACCATTCCATGTTGGTTTCCTGTAGATCGATCTTTGATGAGAACTAAATAATAGACTACTATACATTTTAATAATATAATAATATAATATATAATAATAAATAATATAAACACGATTTTACAGCCTCTGAAGATGATTTCGTAGATATAGAGAATTTTATATGTTGAATTTGTCTTTTATTTTCTTCATGACTCAATGGATATTTAGGGTAATTTACTATCAGTTCACCCATATTATTATTATTGTTCCCTTTGGTTTCTAGTGGAACATAGGGCTTCAACTACACGTCTCCATTTGCTTCTGTCTTCTGTTGTACTTTTCACCTGCATCCATGTTAGTCCATACTGTTTCAACTCCTCTTCACACGATCTTCTCCATGTCACCCTTGCACCGACGAACCACTCGCCGCTTCCCTTTCGAGTTCCACTCGAGAATTGGCCTGACTCGCGATGTCACCCAGTGGCCTCCTCAGCGAGTGTCCAATCCATCTCCACTTTCTCCTGCATATTTGTTGGGCGACTGGTTCTTGTTTTGTTTGTTCCCGTAGTTTCTTGTTGATTCCTGTTCTTTCCGGCCATCTGATCTTGAGTATAGGACGAAGACAGTTGTTGATGAAGGTCTGCAACAGGCTGTTGTAAATATTCTTTGTGACTCGTCAAGTTTCTGATCCGTAGAGAAGAACTGACTGACTTGACGATTGTATTGAAAATCCGAATTTTGTTGTTGATGTTGAGGAGTGACGAAGATTTCCAGATTGGTTTCAGGTTGATGAATGTGTTTCTCGCCTTCCTGATTCTCGATTTGACATCCTCGTCCATTCCTGCTGTAGTTGAGACAATGCTCCCTAGATGAGTGAATGAAGTAACCTCTTTCAAATCCCTCCCGTTGATGGTGATTGGCGTTGGATGTTGCTGTTGTTGTTGTTGGTTGGTTATTTTCATAACCTCCGTCTTGTCTATGTTCACCTGGAGTCCTGTCTTTGCTGCTTCTTCGACCAGTTTGTCGATTTTCGCTTGTAAGTCTTCAATTTTGTGTGACATGAAACATAAATCATCCACACGCGAAATCCAGATCTTCTAGGTTCTTCACGTCGGTCCAGGATATCCCTGTCTTCTCGTTTCCCACTGTCTGACGCATAATCAAGTCTACCACAAATAGGAATATGATTGGTGGTAATAAGCACCCTTTTCTCACTCCCATGTTTACTCCAAAAGCCTCGCTGAGTTTTCCGTTGTGGATGACTTGACATGTGCCGTTGTCGTACAGCTGTTGGATAAGGTTGATGAATATTTTGGGTACGCCGTAGTCCTCGAGTAGTTTCCAAATGACTTCGCGGTCAGCGCTGTCGAAGGCCTTCTCAAAGTCTATAAAGTTGAGGTAGAGGTTTGATTGTCATTTCATGCTTTGTTCGATGATGCGTAGAGTTGTAATCTGGTCAGAACATGATTTGTCTTTCCTCAATCCAGCTTGTTCTGGTCGGAGTTCTGTATCAAGTGCGTCCTTTATTCTCTCCAGGATGATGCGACTCAGGATTTTATTTGGCGTTGACAGGAGCATGATTCCTCACCAGCACTTGCAGAGTCCTAAGTCGCTCTTCTTTGGTAGTTTCAGTTCGCCCATATAACAAGCCAGAATCTTAGTCTGTTTAGAGCTGATTCAGCTGTCTTTGTTGACTGAAACAGGGCACACCTCTGATGAACTCGGCCTCAAGTGAGTGAAACCACCGCCCGGTGTTTGGATCACTTCAGTTTGGCTAGCAAGTACTACTTGTTGATATGAATAGTATCCAACTACTTATATTAGTCTATAAGTAGTATGTGGCACTCTGCAATTTAGTTTTCTTCCTATTTCGCGTTGGAATTTAGGCTGATTTAAACTCCATGCCTACTTTATTCCCTAATGACTGTTGACTGTTCAAATTGATAAGGCCAGATTGCAACGGAGGACTACCGGAGAGTTGGTAAAGGTATGTTTATTAGGGATTTGGTATCTCTAAATTATGTACTCCTTATTTCCAAATCATCATTTGCGCAGATTTTACGGGTTGTGCTACTTCTGACCTTCGTATTGTGTTTCTTTGTCTTCTTTACGTGTCTCCTATGTTGTGCCGCAATATTGGTTTATTTCTTCTCTTTGACATTAAATCTATCTTTCACAAGTTGATCACGGATTGATATCAGTTAGAGAACCATTGAAAACTAGCACGGAGTACTGGACAGCCAGCTGTTTCGTCAGCCTAGTTTGGGAATAATCGGCAGGACGCATCCATCACCAGGTTTCGAACCCAGGACCCTACGGTCTCAACGCTAGCTCGTATACCATTCAGCCACTGGGACCCGATTCAATGGCTCATGAATTCTAACTTCTACCAATTCGTGATTTAGCGCGACCCCAACCACTCGCATCAACAGCCAATTCGTTGTTTCCTATTTGGGTTCTACTAGACAGATGACCTGGCGCGTGATGTCATGCGATGGTCTTCTAACCGTGTGTCCATTCCATCTCCATTTATTGCTGCATATTTGCCTTCCAGGGTTCCTTGTTGTTAACCCTTTCTGGCTAACCATCTGAACTTTTGTATTGGGCCAGTGATTGCAGCTGTAATATATTATTTCTCTTTGTGTGAAGGTGTTGTTCATTGGTCCAGGCCTTCGACTTCAAGTCGGTGGGCCAGTGGGTTCGAAACTCAACCAGGTAGGTGGCACAGTGGTTAGTACTCTCGCCGACATGCACATGGTCTGGGTTCGACCCCCTGCCGACGCACACCCGATATCTATGGTTGGCCTGCAAAATTTGGGCTACCGATATCCATGCTGAAAATTCCATACTTGTACTGAAAATACGGTGTGGCATCAAGCTGCAATCAAAATAAAATAAAAAAAAAAAATGGTATCAGTGGTCCTCACACAGTCGGTTTATCTCATTGTTAACTGCATGAAATTGCAAGTAGTTTCTGCATAATACTCATATTTCTCTGTGTTTCGAGTTCGATATAGGGCTTCGAGCTTTCAGGATTGAGGTTCCAGTAGCTATTGCCTTTTTCCTCAGGGTAGGGTTACTAGCCACATATCAAACCTTTCCTCTTTTTGCTGGACTTACTACCACTTAAGCAGTAAGTGAGTTGGTCGGGAATCGAACTGAGACCATTTGTGTGGTTGACAAGGTTTCTGACAATGAACTGTCAAGGTACTGCAAAACAAACATTAGCATCTGTGGCAATAGAAAACTGTATTATTATTATTGTTCCCTTGGGTTGCTAGTGGAACATAGGTGTAACAACAGAAGACAAGGGCAAGGCAACATATCGTTTATTAAGGAAAATCAACAGATATTTATAGATTTTAATGTAAATTATTGTAGATTATTGCTATTAGAAAATACAGTCTTTTGATTGGTTGTTTCTCACAAAAAGTTAACCTTGCATCTCTTTGTGGCTGTGTCAGATCATCCATATGCTAACTGTATCCGCCTACGCAAAGCCTTTTTTCTCATTTTCTCACCACCAATATTGGGGACATAAACATTGACGTCAATTACTGTCTATCAACTTTGGCTAGCAGCCAGCTCTCACCACATATGGCTTCAACTGCACGTCTCCACTTGCTTCTGTCTTCTGCTGTACTTTTCACCTGCATCCATGTTAGTCCATACTGTTTCAACTCCTCTTCACACGATCTCCTCCATGTCACCTTTGGACGTCCCACTCGCCACTTCCCTTTCGGGTTCCACTCGAGCATTGGCCTGACGCGCGATGTCACCCAGTACTGTAACTGTACATTAGTTCAACTAAGGAGAATTAACTTTTAGCCATTTTTGAATGTAAATATTGACGATAGTGAATTGGCAGAAGTTAGAATTCATGGGCGGCCATTGGATCGGGTCCCAGTGGCTTAATGGTCTACTAGCTAGCTCGCCTTGTAACCAGAAGACCTTGGATTTAAACCCGCTGTGGTGGGTGCGTACTAATGAAGAGTCCCAAACTAGGATGAAACAGCTGTCCAGTACTCCCAGCTGGTTTTCCAATGATTCTGTAACCAATGTCAGCTCATGATGAAATCCTGTGACGATAGTTTTGTTTGAAAATAACGCCCTTCTTTTTCTTCTTCCTCATTTCAGACATTTTGCCTTCAGGTGGAAAACAAGTATGCAGCCTGACTCTTCAATTCAATCACATCAAAACGGTTTAATCAAACCAAAAGAGAAATATGTAAATAGTAGCAATATTAGTAACAATAATAATAATAATAATCACAATGGCTTGGTGACTAGTAAAAGGTCTCCAGCAAAAGTCAACTTACCCACTCATAAACCGGTTCTATTAAATGAAAAATTTGATCGTATCAATCAATCAGGACAAAGTGATGAGGTGGTCAGAGATCTCCTATCACCAGGTGATTTAGTCAAAGATAGATGGCGTGTTGTATGTAAACTCGGTGGAGGTGGTTTCGGTGAGATTTATGAGGCGGTTGACACCAAACTGAAACGTGTACAACACTCCACCTCATCATCGTCATCTTCATCCTCCTCCTGTTCATCAGGATCAACACCATCCAATTGTTGTGCTGACCTACAACAACCGAATGTGAAACGTTATTCCACTGAATATTCTTTATGCTTAAATTGTGCAACAAATAGTACACTGAATGCAGCGGTGAATTCCCCGATCCTGACTGGTCAAACAACAGATTCTACACTGATGAAATTCAAGCAACAAGATGTTGGATCAGATAGTGGTATCGGTGTTGGACAGGCATTTTCATCAGATACACAAATGCTTCAACATGGTACGCGTATCAATTCGGCTGGTACAACAACCTCAGCTTCAATGTCTTCACGTCGATTCATGCTGACGTGTAATGAGAATAACAATACTCAGAAAAATACTCCAGACGATGGTGTCATCCGCTTACAGCTTTCAAATGGTATACAGAAGATAACATCACAAGATTTCAGTGTTAGTAATGTCTCTACACCAAGAGAATCAAGTCAAACAGGGAATTATGACAGTAAGAAGCGAATATGTATGAGTTGTAAGTGTGAATTATCCCAAGGGGTTAATGATAAATCGAATAATGGTGTGTCAAGTGATTCTGGTATATGCAGTGTTAACGATGCCTATGATTATCGTGTAGCTATCAAAGCGGAATCAAATCGTCAAGCTAGACAAGTGCTGAGAATGGAAGTAGCTGTGTTAAGACGTTTACAAGGCAAGCCAAATATATGCCGGTTATTTGGTTGTGGAAAAAATGCAAAATTCAATTATATGGTTATGACATTACAGGTAAGTAAGAATTAAGAGTGAAACTGGGAATTTTCTATTTAAAGCATTTGTGGTGGATGGTGATTGGTAATGGGATCAGTCCAGAATGAGCATTTCGTCCGGTTTGGGACTCTTCAGTTAGTGGGTATACCTACATTCCTCAGCCAGTGAGTGATGATATTCCCCTGCTGAGGCTCGAACCTAGTACCCATCGTTTCAAGCGACAAAGCCTTATCCACTAGACCATAATAATATTATTATTACATAACTGTTTTAACTTGACATTTAATGTGAAAATGATGAAAGAGCGGAGGGAAGTGGTAAAACTGTGGGGACCAGAAAATGGGAGGTGGGAACATTTCGAAAGGAATGCCAAATATTTAGCCTATAGCATATGATAAATAAGAAGGAAGGTCCTGGGTTCGAACCCCGGATTCTGGGTTGCCTGCTAGGCGAGTTTTAGGAATGCGACGGTGGGGAATCGAACTGAATCGTGTGTAGTATGGTTAGAGGGCATTCTGCTACTAAACTACTGACACAGAGAAGAAACATCTGTTGCCATTAGCCAGTTGCTATTAGGTACATCAATCAAGCTGTTTGATATCATAAAGCTTGCAGTCTCTGAATGTTTTACAGCATGAAAAATGATTAATTTTTACCTTTTGTTTAGCCATCAGTCTTTTGAGATTAACAAACAGACAGAATGGGATGGAAGGCGGCAGTAACCATCAGAAGTGATGATTAAAATAGTCACACAAGGGTTTGAATTAAATGTCATCCAACTTATCAAACCCTTAAGATTTGAACTCCGAAGATTGGCAATATTTCAACTCAGCAACCATATTTATCTCAAATTTGATCACAGACTGATGTCAGTTAGAGAACCACCGAAAACCAGTAGGGAGTATTTGATAGCTGTTTCTTCCTAGTTTTAGAGTCTTCAACGGCACACACCCATAACCCGAGACGTTCACGATTTTAGCGTCCTTAAAAATTAATCTGATGTTCACTAGTGGCTGACCAGTGGACATATTTGTCTGGAGTACTAGTAAGAATTCGTCTCTAGTGGAGTCTATCAGGTCGGATGTGTGGGCATATACTCTCCGATGATATTGATTAGTGGTGGCGCTAAAACTTGTGAACTGATAGAAGTTAGAATTCAAAGGCTGTTGCATTCCAGACTAAGTGGTTGATTGTGCGTCGGTAGCACAGCGGTTTAATAATAATAATAATAATAATTTGCTTTATTCCAAAACAGTACTTGTGATACAGAATGGAATTCTCAGCATTTTTACTACAGTATTGCATCCAGTTAGTACATTATCAATAAATAAAATTCTACATAGATTAAGGAAATCTCAGTTCATTATGACAACAACATATTGGCATATCGATAGCAAAGGTAAAGCTGAACAGTGTTTGAAGGTGTTAGAAAAGTAGGTGCTATCATATTTACTGGCGTAAGTGGAAGAAAGGAAAAGAAAAAGAGAGAGAGAAAAGGAAAAGAGAGAAGGAAAATGTTGTACCTATAAATGATATGAGTTGGAAAGACCTCAGTCCAGTTGTTCTACTGACTACTTAATGAATTATAGGTGTCACGCCTAATGCTTTCTTTATCACACAGAACACGAGCTAAGTAGGGTATGGTTGAGTTTTTGTACTTGCTGGTGCGAGCATATAGTTTTCTATATAGGCTTCTGGTTTTGCCTGATGAGATGCAAGGGGAGAGTTGTGAATGAAGAGGGTGGTGTGAGTTAGATAAAATGGATTTAGCCCATTTTTCACATGAGTCCAAGTGCCTGTCAACCAGAATATTAACAAGCTGGTTAAGTGGCACGTTGCTTACCCTGCTGACAACCTTTAACATCCTGCGTAATATGTTATAGTCTTTCTTCAGTAGCCCTGGAAAAACTAAGCCCAGGGAACAATAGAGAATAATAGGCAGAATGCGAGAGTTAACGAATTGTAGGAGTAAGGGTTGGGTTATACCAGAATGGTTAGGACTCTCGCCGACCATGCTGATGCACACCTGATATCTATGGTCGACCTGCAAAATTTTGGCTACCGATATGACATGCTGAAAATTCCATACTTCTACCAAAAAGTACTGTGTGAAACCAAGCTGTAATCAAGAAAAAAAAACAATAAAAATGATGGTCAATGAGTTTGGCATTGTAACCCGGTGAGTCCATGCTGCTGAAGAGTCCTAAAGTAGTAGGAAACAACCATTCAATGTTCCCTGATCTCTTTCAATGGTCCTCTAACTGATATCTACAAATTAACTCTCGAAAATTAAATGTGATGATTTCAGATCTGTACAGACCAGTACAGATCAGTTGAATTAGAAATGAGAATTGAAGTCAGTTACAAGAAAAAAAATGCAATGCAAGCTTTTGAAAAGCATAGAAGCCAGCAAGCAGCCTTATTAACTCTCAGATAGAGAAGAAACTCATGACTTTGACATTTATCTATGCATATATCTAACATTCGATTTCTTTTGACTAACATTCAAATCATATTATGAAAAATGATTATCAAAAGAACTTGAAAAAATTGAAGAATGACACATAAATACACGTACATATATATATTTATGTACATATAAAGATTTGAACATAGGTATAATAATGATAATGATAATAATAATGTTAGTAATAAATCAAATTGCGAACGAAGTTCAAGGTCAATGTGAATAGATATAATCGGTGTATGCACACGTTTACATGAACGTTTGAAGTATTCATTGAGAGTAATATACGACTCATTGAATACCTCTATTTATCATTATTATTACTATTAATAATAATAATGATTTTATTAGAGTGAAATCATATCTCCTCTGTCTACTAATAGACTATTTAGTTGACAATTTGAAAATAGCATTTTTGAAAGAAGAATTTCGTGTATGAAAAGTGAAGAATTCAGGATAGTATTCATTCAATACAGGCTAGTGTAGATTGTCTCATTCGAATTGTAAAAAGTGAATTAGTTAGGATGGTTAGGAGATATGTTACGCATACAGAGGTATCTTCTTTGTCAATATCAAAGCAAGAATCGGAAAATCAAGATAAGCTTTCACTACTATCAAGTCTGTGTGGAGGTCAACAGCACTCAGTATCAAAAATAAGATCCGGATTTTCAACTGCAATGTGAAGTCAGTGCTACTCACTATATGGATCAGAGACTTGGCGCGTCATAAAGAGCATCTCAAACAAACTACAGACCTTCATCAACAGCTGCCTTCGCTCAATACTACTCAAGATCAGATGGCCGGCCAGAAAAGATGAGCAACAGAGATCTCTGGCAATGAGCGAACCAACCCAGCAGGAACCGATTGTGAAACAAATAGGCAGGAAGAAATAGAGATGGATTGGTCATACCCTGAGGAAACAAACCATCAAGTGACATCAGTAGACAAGCCATTGCTCGAGTGGAACCCGAAAGGGAAGAGGCGAGTTGGTTGTCCAAGGGGGACTTATGGGAGGTCGTGTGAAGAGGAGATGAAAACGTGTGGGCAGACATGGAGCCAGGTGAAGACTCTAGCAGAGAACCGAACGCAATGAAGACGCACGGCTGAAGCTCTATGTACCTCTACGAATTAAAGAAAACAATAATAATATTTGGGCTCGCGATTGACCTCCTGTAGGACTGTAATGGGTATTTTGAATGGACACTAGTCAGTGACTAGTGTAATGTGTCTAGTCGTATCTTAGGTGTAAACTCAATTCTATCAGTCGAGTTTGCACTGTCACCACTACACTGCACTCTGAATTAGGGCTGCATATTGCAAACTTGACTGATAGAGTCTAGTTTTCGCCAACACCAATGGCTATACTCATGACATTACTTAATATCAAGTATCCAATCGAAGTACCTAATACAGTCCCACACGGAGGTCAATCATAGGCCCAAAAAGCTCAGTGGTAACGTCTCTGACTGTAGCACTGAGTGAGTTGGGTTTAACTATATCAGAAGAGACGTAGGTTCCTTGAAGACTGGAGATATACCTTACTGGCGAGTTCACGTAGGCACGAAACTTGGGTGGGGGGGGGGTAGGGCTTTCTGTCGATTGCCTCTAATATGTCATTGCTTTGATTTATAAAAAAACATGACCTCTAATGGTGATATTGTTCACTTTCGTGAGTACTTAAAATGCTGACTGTCTTTTAATTCGTAGTTTTCTACAAAATCTGAGGAGAAGCATAATTGCCGGGTGCTAATGTATCCCAATAAATGAGATAACTGTTTCTGAGATTATTAGTAGATTATTATTAGTAGATTATTATTATTATTATTATTAGTAGTAGTAGAAACTTCCACTGCCTGAGAAATAAAAGTGACTATCTGCAGTTAGTAGGAAGTCACAGACATAGATTTCGTGCTAGTTGGTACTCATCGGTCAACAAGGCGTATCTACAACCTTGAAGGAACTCATGTCCCTGCTAAGATTTGAACCCGTGTCACCCAATGCTGCAGTCAGACACATTGCCACTGAGCAATTTAGGCTAGCGATTGGCCTCCTGTAGGACTGTAGTGGGCACTTTGATTGGACACTAGTCAATGACTATTGTAATGTGTCTAGTCCTTTGTTTGGTGCAGACTGAATCCTATCAGTCAATTTTGCAATGTGGCCAGCATTCTAGGTAGCTCGCCATGACGAAGCACTCGAAATTGATGACGTTGTCAATTTTATTACTTCCTTAAATCACTAAGACAGCACGTCTCCTTATTTTTTATGTTAAAATTCATTTTTATTTTGTACTTTTAGGGTAAAAATCTTTCTGAAATACGTCGAACTCTACCAGGTGCAGTTTTTTCTCTTGGTACAGCTTTTCGTCTAATTAAACAATGTATAACCGCCTTACAAACTCTACACGATGCTGGTTTCTTACATCGTGATGTAAAACCATCAAATTTTGCAATTCAACGTGGTAAACCAAAGGATAATGCTTCTTCACAAAGAGTACAAGTTACACTGTTAGATTTTGGTTTAGCCAGACCCTATACTATCAATGGTCCTGGTAGTGAAGTACGTAATGCTCGTCAAATTGCTGGATTTCGTGGTACAGTACGTTATGCATCGATTAATGCTCATTCACATCAAGATTTAGCTAGAAGAGATGATTTATGGTCATTAGTTTATATGTTTATTGAATTTATTTGTGGACAGTTACCATGGCGACGAATAAGAGATAAAGAATTAGTTGGACAAATGAAAATGGCATTAAATCATAAAGAATTAGCTATAAAATCTGGCCTGCCTGTAAATATTGTCACTACATGGATAACACACTTGGAACAATTAGAGTATAAAAGCATGCCTAACTATAGCCTGCTTATTAGCTGCCTAGATGAATGGTTATCACAGCATAAAATACAAGAATCAGATTTATACGATTGGGAAATTTCAGATCACAGTCTGAGTAGAATCATTGAAGAGTGAACACCATCAACAACAACAACAACAGCAACAACACCAACAATTAAAGCCCGGTACTATCACCTTATACAAACCTGAACATAAACCAATCCTAACAGAACACTTAAGTTATAAAGAGATTAGAACACAAGCAGTTGATAATCCAGTGAATCGTAATGAAGATGGTAAATCGGTGGAAATGGAGGCTAGACAGGACAATGACAATGACGATGAAGAAGACGAAGATGAGCATGTAAATAAAATGAATGAAACACTGAAACCAAACACCCTGCTTCAAATAGTCCGCGATAATCACAAGGTCAAATTGAAACAATCTTCAGTGAATTTAAACAACAGATATTCAAATAGTCAGTGTAATTTAAAAATCACTACTGGAGATAATAATGATAATAATAATAGTCATAATAAAGGTCAACTCTTGAAACAAAGAAGCCTTTTGAAAGACTATGGAAGTCTAGGAGCTGATTTAATCAGTCATGATGGAGATATGGAGAATGCTATAATTGTTGAAGGGGAATATTCACAGAATAAGCCAAATAAACTGTTATCCATTATTAATAATAGTGCAGACTGTATTCTAGGCGATGATGACGGTGAATATATGGAAGAGGATATTAAAGACGACGTCGTTATAGAGGCTAGTGTCAGTAGAAACAATGTTGAAAAGTGTGACGACAATAAACTGAATCACTTAACAATTGTTGATGTCCAACAAACTGTGAAGAACGAGGAGGCTGGAAAGGTTAATCCACAGCCGTCTTGTATATCAACATTATCAAACAACAATGCAGAAGACTGTGTTTCAAGGAAAGAGGCAACTTCGATGAAAGATAATCTGAAAATAATCGGTAAGTTCAGTGTGTTCAATGTTTTAGCAAGAAAAAACCCTCCGCACTTATTGTTACTTCTGTGCTACACATTTTTTACTGGTGGATTCTTTTCTGCGTATGTGTGTGTGTGTGCGTGTCTGCGTATTGACAAGATGTCAAACCATTTGGAATATTTAGTGTGGATATTTCTCAAACTGTCATTCCTTTATGAATGGAAAATAACATACTTCACATAAGTAGTAAACCTATTTGACTCTTAAAATATCACACTGTACATTGATAACCATTACACTGTTGATTTTCTGTTAAATATTTCATTGCATGGGAAGCCGTGACCAGTAGGGTACAGCAGGTTGAAGATGAGGCAGTAACTCATCTAAGAAGACATTGCGAAATGGTCGCGCTATGTCGTGAATTGGCAGAAGTTAGAATTCAAGGACCATAGGATCGGGTCCCAATGGCTCAATGGTCTACGAGCTCGCCTTGTAACCAGAAGGTCCTGGGTTCGAATCCCGGTGGGCGCGTACTGATGAAGAGTCCCAAACTAGGACGAAACAGCTGTCCAGTACTCCCAGGTTTTCCAGTGGTTCTCTAACTGATGTCAGCTCATGATGAAATCCTCCATGCAATTAAACAAAATCCCTACTAAACCAATACTTGAAAAATATTTATTGTTGGTAAGCTGGTGGGAGCACTGCTAGGAGAACGCTGTGTTCAGACTGAATTCTGTCAGTCAGGTTTGTAAAGTGGCCACCATTCTAGGTAGCGGCTCGCCATCACGGTGCACATTGATTTGATGATATTAGATGGTTGGAGGCAGTCGGCCACAGGAAGTCTTGCACCTAGGTTTCATACCAGCTGACAATCACCAGTCAGCAAGGTGTATCTGCAACCTTGAAGGAACTCATATCCCCATCTGAGATTCGAACCCAAATCCTATTCATGCATTAGTATCTATAAGGTAGAAGCATCTTTTACTTATGACGCAATCATGGAAGGTTGTATAGGGAGTAATGTTTGGGTGAGAATCTAATGTGTTCGTCATGGAGCCAGAGGTGAAATGCTAATCAACTACCCATGTGTTTAGAAGTTCTCAGCCAACGCATTCCTAAACCTCACCGGATTTACTAGGCGATAATAAGCACAGGGGTAAGTGGTAAAGTTGGACGTGAGGCTAATGACCTTCCGCCTTCAAAATTATCCAACACAGGTACTGAAGCTTCAAGGCTTCAGAATTGTAATGATATTTTCCACTTGGAATTCAAGGAAATGGGAAGGAACATCTAAGGCGAATTGGGAAATTTAGATGAGGAAAGGTTTTTGTTTGGCATAAAACACAGTGGAACAGTTACGCCAACAAAATTGGTTGTTGGTAGCTCTTTTACGTGAAAAGATAAAAATCACAGCTGACCTAAGACGGAGAGTGACTCTGATACTTACGTCAATTTATTGATATTTGTTGACGGTGAGATAGTCGGAGGTAGCTTCCGTTTGGGAGACGTATTGGGGGATGAGTAAATGTGAAATGGAAATCCTGTCCACATCAAGAATGGAATCACTAGCCACTGAATTACTAGTTCAACGCATTAGCCGTTTAGCTAAGAAATGAAGCCGTCAATTAGCTAATCATCATTTCACTGCAATCACCACTCAGTGTTCAACCCCTAGGGCATCATATTCGTCCAGACTGTCTTAACTTTGAAACAACTAGCAAGTATCCATAAAGCAGATTTAGTGTCTAATCGTTGTGCGTCGGTGGGAGAGCGGTAGAGTGCTCACCGACCACGCAGGTGGTGCGGGGTTCGATCCCCGGCCACCAACGCACCTCTTTACCTCGCTAAGCCAGTAGTAAGACTGGTAAAGAGGGAAGGTTAAGCATGAGGCTAGCAACCCCATCCTGTAAAAATAATCTAATCGTTAAAGTTCTGAGTGTAACACAGGGCTTCAAGATTGAGCATCGAAGTTTTAGTAGCTCTGATATTTTCACTTTTACGGGATGAGATTGCTAGCCCCACGCCTGACCTTCACATTTAAGTGGGCTTACCATTAGTTAAGCAAGTTTTAGGGGTGCAGCGAGCAGGAATCGACCCTACACGATATATGACTGGCGGGTATTCTACCAGTGAAAGGATTTATTGAGTCCATCAAATTTCGATAGAATGCTGTAGTTAAATACTCTTCATACGGTGTTATCTTTCTTGATTTCTTTGGCAAGAACATGGGGGCATATGTGGCTAACAAATTAAATATACAAGGAATTAGCACTTTGAGGCAGTATCTACAACTGATGGAATTGTATCTAAGCTTTGAATGTAAATCACAGACGAAATTCACCCTATGTCATCCTAATCTTCACTTCACATTAGAACATGAGGAAAATGGTGCTATTAAATTCCTAGGGGTTTTTTTCTGTTGAAAAGGACTGATGGCACAATAGATTGTTTCATATTCAGCATATTTTTCGTAGATAGGACAGTAAATATAGTTTAGGAGGTGCGTGTTTCCCTCCATTATAAAAGGAAGCCAGTCAGAACACTGTTCCGACAGTACATCTGGATATATAACCAAGACCCTGAAGAATATTTTATGTATGAATGGATATCCTGAGGGACTTTACCAATAGGTATTGTAAAGAAAACTGGAACTCAAAAATACTGTCAAAACCGTTTCATAGAAGGTTGCTTATATCACTCAATCACTCGAAGTAGAGGAAGTACACCAAACAGTTAAATGGTGACTTGATACAGCTATTAGAAGACACTATTATGCTATAAATCCTGCAATTGTTAACACTACCAAACGGAGCCTTCAACACTGTGGAAAAGACCAGTCACCAATCTTCGACACTTTAAACCGCGCATATCAATTTGAATGTGTTTGTGGAAGCAAATGCATAAGTCGTACGAGACGGAAATTATCTACTCGTACGATGAAGCATTTGATAAAGTGGTTGAAAACGGCTAAAGCCACGATCCTCAAAAGTTCAATAAAAATATCTTATAGATAAGGCCATGATACTGACGATGGCAGGTCATTCACTGCCGTCAGGCAACAACACAAAGATGCTTGAATTCGCGGAGGCTTGTGCAGCTACAGTTGATAAACGCGGTTTCTGTGTAGCGAAAGAAATCGTGATCACTTTAAATCTACCATGGTAATATTAAAAGTTTGTAGGCAATCAGCGACTTGCCTTGCACTTACTAGTCAGCAAGTCTTGTCTGCAGTCTTGAAAGGACTTATGTCTCTGCTGAGATTCGAACCCCAGTCAATCAGAGAGATAACTCCTGGGTGTACCACGCTTCAGCAAGTCACCTGTCATGGTGACTACATTGGGAACCTGACTGGTAGAATTCACTCTCTACCAACATCAAGGTGGCGTCGGTGGCATAGCGGTTAGGACGCTCGCCGACCATGCACATGGTCCGGGGTTCGATCCCCGGCCACCGGCGCACTCCTTTACGTCACTAAGCCAGAAATAATGCTGGTGAAGAGGAAAGGTTGGGCCAGATGAGGCTAGCAAACCCACCCTGTAAAAATTAAATACCGTTGCTACCGAAACTTCAAGCCACTAGCTTGAAGCCCCTATGTTCCACTGGAGGACGTGAAGGAGACGAAAACATCAAGGGCTGGACGCATGACACTAGTTTCTACCTAGTCTCTAATCAAAGTACCCACCACAGTCCTATAGAAGGACAATCGTGAGCCCGAATAGGTCACTGGTAACGTCTCCGAGTGAAGCACTGGCTGATTCAAGTTCGAATCCTAGAACGTGGAAGTAAGTTCCCTAAAGACTGCAGATATGCCTTGCTAAGGAATGCCAACAAACACGGAACCTAAGTCTATGGCTTGCTTCAAATCGCCTTGAATCACCCTGTAACTGAGGAGTAAAGGTTATTGAAGAGAAATTCACATTGCCCGCAATAATAACGATAATAATAACAATCTCATCTTTCCATATCATTATTAAGAGCAAAAACATTTTTCCATTCAATGTTTTCAATTCACTTTGTTTATATCAACTAACTGAATTTATTTCCGAATTTAAAAATCAAATCCACCTTTGAATTATTTTTTGTCATCATTATTTTTTCTAAAACGTTTTACACAAATCTTCACCCGCAGATTCGGAAATATTTCTTCATTTTATCTTTCAATATTCTATTTCCTCTCATTTTGAAAAAAAAAATTTATATAGACATTAAACGAGGCTAACTCACTCCAACTGTGAATATCTGTGGTAAAATTGTAGCCGGCATAAAACTGTTCACCTTGTTTTTGCTTCTTGTATTGCATAATTGTGCCAGTGGGAGTCTTTGTGCGTGTGTGTTTGTGCGTGTTTGAGTATGAGCACACAGCTTTTCAGGCTCTATGCTTTTTTATATGATAACTGTTACTAGTAATTTAATTATTATTATGATTATTAATAATTTAAACAATTGAGGTCAAAGAGGTCAAATGGACAAGATGTTGACTTGCCTCTTTTCTTTTGTTTATTTTATTTTTAATTTAACACCAGCATGGATAGTAGATAACACCTTTTGAGTTAGTATTATATGCTGCCTTACCTCATACTGTCTAATAATTACTGCTCAGATCACTGGCTGGTTGATCTCTCTCTTTCCTAACGTTTTATATTTTTATGACAATGTGAAATCTGTCTAATTGGTAAAAAAACTGGTATAATTAAGAAGAAAGAAGCTGGCTGTCAGTAATATATTAAATTGGACAGATAATTCAAGTAATAAATAGCTAAATAAAATAACTGGTAATGAATGATGCGAAATTTTCAGGTGTTGGTTGGTTTGGGTAGGGATTGGATTGGTTTCAAGTTTTGATGCCGAATTGACTTCAGTTAGAGAGCTGCTGTAAAATTAGAGAGCACCGGTCAACAGTTTGGTTCTAGTTTAGCAATTTCCAGCGGTTAGACATTCAGCCATTGCGACTGAATCTGGTGACCCGTCAGTTCTAACTTCTGTCAGGCGATCTCGCCAGCCAGTAATTGTCCTCATACACAAATT